TATTCTCTGCTTTCAGTCAAGATCCATCGGACATCAGCAATGACATGCTTCATTCCACGGCCTCTTCTGATTCCGGCCTGAACCTCTGGAAGTTCTCTGACAATGTATGCTTGCAGCCGTTTCTGTATTACCTTTAGTAAAACTTTACTTGCATAGGATATCAAAGATAATTGTCTGATGATTTCCGCATTCTGTTGGGTCACCTCTCTTTGGAATGGGCACAAATAATTGAATTAACGTTTGTACTGTCTTCCTTATGGCCGTGGTTATGTGCTGTGGAGTTGGCTCTGATTCATAGTGATCCTGTATAGAGTTTCCGAGGCTGTAAATCTTTATAGGAGCAGAAAGTTTCATCTTTCTCCGATGGATGACCTTGAGGTTAGCAGCCTGAAACTCATAACCACTATGCTAGGTGTATAGATATTATTTTATTGCAGACAGCATTGTACGTCAAGATAGATCATGATATGTTCTTTTGGACAATTAATGCAATATCATTCCTCTGGAATCCGTCTTTCCCTGCCTAGTAAAAGCCTTCTGATTGTCACATTCATTACGGTCAGTACCAGTCCAATTCCGCTCATTAAAGCCAAGGATATTGATCTTTATGTATTCCGTTTCGTTTTTGACAACTTCTACTTTTCCTACAATCATACTTCGTACATTCCATGTTCTGAATATTAATGGATGTTTACAACTATTTATCCTCATTTTGAGTTGTGCCACATCAGTAAATGAAGGTCTTAAAAGCTTTGCTCCATTTGTGTCATCAAGGTTATCTCTACTTTGAGGAAGCAGCTCCCCACAAGTTGAATTCTGAGTGTGTTCCAAACTGAGGGGCTCATGTTCTGACAATACATCTGACAGTGCTCTGCTGCTATTCATAAGGTTTCAGTGGCTAAACATTCAAAAACGGTCTGCCTTTCTTACTTCCTAGTCTGTCTTAGTCTAGAAGCTCAGCTGAAACTGTCCACCATGGGTGACCCTGCTGGTATTTTAAGAATGGTCTTACAGCTTCCAGCATCACAGCAACACACAAGCCATCACAGTATGACAAATTCACAAACGATCAAGGATTAAATATTATACGATGCTGTTGTTTTTGTTAAGTGCCATTGAATTGGTTCCGACCCACAGTGACTCCATATAGGGTTTCTGAGGAGCGTCTGGTGAGCTTGAAACGCCAGCCTCGCAATTCAAACTGACTTTGCAGTGCAGCGCATTAACCCGCAGCGCCACACCAGGACTCCAAATACTATATAAATGGAATGTGATTCATTAATACACAGCAATACTGATAGATGCTACATCATGGAGGGGGGAACTTTCAAAACATGATTCTAAGTTTAAAAAGCCATTTACAAGGGATCACATATGTTTATTTTATGATTCTCTCTATATAAAATGTCCAGAATAGTCAGAGATTATAATCAGTGGTTGCCAGGAGCTTAGGAGATAGGAGCAGAAGACTGGGGAATGACTGCTAAGCAGTATGGGATATTTTTCTTGAAGGGGGAGGGAGAAATGTTTAATTGATGGTGGTGATAGTTGCACAACTCTACAAATATACTAAAAACCATTGATATTTAGATTTTAAATGGGGGAGCTTTATGGTATGGACGAATCATTCTTTTATTTAAAAAACAAAAACACTAAGGCTAATCTTTCAAGATCTGAAATTTCAAATACTTAATCTTTATTTTAGCTAGCATTTATTCAGTATTTGTTAGTTACTGGGGTTATAAAGATGAGTGATGTGATCATTAATCTGAAGGAATTTATAGATTAATATGGAGCCTTCTCCATAAAGCCTTTCCAAATATGTGGAAAACATTTTATTCTCTGGACATTACAAAAGGAGAGTAAATGCAGAACATTTGCTAAAATAAAGAGAAATCATTCTGAATTAACAATCTGAGAATAAACTAATTTCTTGCCTCCAATTTGATACATTATGTAGAGTTAAGAAGATTTAGTAATCTTGGAGCTACAATCATTACACCAATCATTGCTATCAGGAACAAGCTTCCTGAACATCTGCAGTCCGAGTCAGAACATAGCTTGTTCTCTTTTTTCCCCCGTCTTCCTTCCCCTTGTCTATATTCCATATCCTGTTGACTTGTGATAATTAGGTAAAAAAATGATGGGTCCTGACTGATACTGGACAGCTTAGTGATGGGGTAAGCCTAGTATTTTTTTGGCATGTTTCCTCCTGAAAGATGCCCCATGAGGAAACAGACCATCGCTTACATACTTCTGTATTCTGAATGCCTGACACATTGTTCAGAAGCCTAATGAAAGAAAATATTCCCACTGCACTGACACTATATGAGACACTCTTTGTAAATACTCACAACATTGGAATTCTTCTCCTACTAGATGTCTCACGCTTTTACTTTGTGGTATATATGATTTTAATTTAAATGATTTTTTGTGCAATTACTTCTGAGTATCTACCATGTGCTAAGAATGTCTCTTAACTAGACTGAAAAATTCCTAGAAGGAAAAGAGTGTCCTTCATACTTCATTAGCTCTAAAAGTGTTTCTCACAAAGGACATGTATGTCAATAAATATGTGATGAATGAATAGATGTCTCATTATCCAAGTAAACTTTGGAAGTGGGGAGAAGAGGAGAAGGGGAAAGAATGAGCATGGTACCAGTTCAACTCATACATTACAATTTACTTTCTTCATAATCATAACTGTGTTAAAGATAAGGTTTTACATTAAAAAAACAAACAAAAAACCCACACCCATTTTTAAAGTGTGAGAAGTTCCTGTACTTGAGAGCCACTCAGATACAATTTAACTGATGTTGTTTAATCTAATAATCAAGAACCTTTTGTATACTATAATTTTCAGATTAACTTTGGAACTTGGGCAAATCACTTAAACTAAAGAAGCTTAATTCCTTCTTTCTAAAATTGGGATGACAATAATATCTAATCTGTCTCTCATGACTGCTATTAAGTGTAGTTAAATGAGATAAGAAATGTGAAAGACATTTGAAAATGACCAAGAGAATTATCACCACCATGTATTGCTATTCGTTTGCAGCTTACACGAGTGCAATGTTTACACAATTTCCTCACTATACACCCTGGTGTTATATCTCTGATATATTATCAAATAAAATTTCTGGGGCTTGCTAGTCCTTTACTGAGACTGCACCCAATCACTCAGCATTTTTAATTTTTAAAAATTTTCAATATACTTGCTAAGTATATATCCTTACTAAATTCTCAATTTCAGTATCACAGTAAAACCTGGGAGATGGAGAACGCAACAGGACTGTCTTGTTTTTCCACCTCCCAAGTTTTCCACCTTTGACAGGTCTCAGTCTTACTTTCCTGTTGCTCTGTACTAGTGAGAAATATTCGAGTTTTCTGTCTCTGACAGGTTTTTGCCTTATACAGACTTTGGCTTTTACATGCTTTACTGTGTAATTGTTTGAAACATTTGAACTCGGAGAAGGCAAGCACGTATCAGATTAATTTTCTAAAAGTTCTATTGTAAACAATGAATGCTGCATTCCCTTTCTTTGGTGCATTATAACCAGACCTATAGCTGTAAAGATTTACAGCCTCAGAAACCCTATGCAGGGTCGCTATGAGTCGGAACTGACTCCACAGCACTTAATAACAACAACAACAATAGCTGTAAAGTGACCTTTCTAGTAATAATAAATTCTTACCTTTGCGGCACAGGCTCGTATCACCTCCTAAAGAGACAAAATAGAATAAAATGAGCACAAGTCCATCATTTTATTTAAATAAAATATGACCTGTCAATACATTTACATGTTCATCTTCTAATATCAAAATCCATTATTGGGGGAGTTGTGTTAGGTTTTTGTTTTTCCCATCACTGTGCGGCTGTCACTCCGCATGGTCCCTAATGAGATGGAAAGAATACAAATGAAAGAGACTTCACCAGTTTCAGAGTCTCTTCTGATAGCCACTTTGGTCTTCTCTTTCCTTCTTATCTTTTTAGTGGCCGTTAGCTTTCTTCCTATATGATGTTTCTCATGTCATCCCATAACTCTTCTGGTCTTTGGTCAGTCATGTCTAATGCATCAAATCTGTTTTTGAGATGGTCTCTAAATTCAGGTGGGGTATGTTTAAGGTTATAGTTTGGCTCTTGTGGACTTGTTATGTCTTCCGCTTCAGCCTGAACTTGCATATGAGCAGATGGTGGTCTGTTCCTCAATCAGCCCCTGGCCTTGTGTTGGCTGACAGGGAATTTCCAGACCATCCCTCTCTACAGACAGTCAGTTTGAATCCCGTGTATTCCATCCATGTGTAGACTCACTGTTTATAGTGTTTAAAAAAAAAGCAAGGAATGCAAAATCCAAACAAGCTCATTCAGAAACTCTGGGGGTGGTCTTAGCAATGTGCTCTGAGAAGCCTGGTAGGTGATTCTGATGCACACCCAAGTTTGAGAACCACTGAAGTTAGCATGTGGCCTTTGGTAAGATTATATAGAAGTGTGAATGCCAAGGCAGAAATTGCTTATTTAAATGTTGTCTGTCCTCCATGGCCCTGAGAATTCAGAGGCAAACTGTCTAAACTGGGTAAAGACCATCTCTGTCCTCAGGGACCCTTGCAGGTCAAGACAGAAAAGCCCCAGTTCCTCCTGACCTACCAGGAGATAGAGTTATAAGCATATGCTATGCTTTATCTTGAGTGTGCTCCTCCGGCTCACAGCTCTTATCCATGATTAGGTCCCTGATTGGCCTTTACAGAGCAGCTGAGGAAGGAGAGCATGATGGGCTATCCTCAGTGTAAGTTTGACTGTTGAGGTTAACACTTTTAGAGTAAGGAATTCAAAGGAGCTCTGGTAGCGAAGTAGTTACAAGTTGGGCTGCTAACCTCAAGGTCAGCAGTTGGAAACTGCCAGTGGTTCCGCGGGAGAAAGATGAGGCTTTTTGCTCCTGTAAGGATTTACAGCCTCAGAAACCCAATGCAGAGTCGCTATGAGTCGGAACCGACTCCATGACACACCACCACAACCACCATTACCATAAAACTTCAAGAAACACTAGCTTTAAGAGATTTAATTATTAAATTAACATTCATTGGCATGGCAAAATAAGATAGGAATTACTTCAAATTTTCTAACTTCTCCCCTGCATGAAATATTGAAACGTACTGTGACGGAATCAAGCCTCTGTTTCACTTGCTGCATCTTCAGTGACGAGTTTTCAGTGTGGACGAATTCATCAATCTGGAAAGAGCCTTGGTGCGGCAGCTTGGGACAAGTGCACAGAGCAGCCTGACTTTGGTGTATTCCAGGAAATGGGGACGTTCCGTTGTACTGTTTGAACAGTTCTGCCTCCTGCTGGGCAACTGGACCAAGGAATTCACAATTAGCTGTAGTCACTACAGAAAAATGCATAATCAGACCACTAAGCCACGAAATTATAGCACTCAACAATTGATGATAAACTGTTTGCAGCCTAATACATTTTAGTGACTGCACACAACTGGCAAAATGTGGTATCTTTAAAATACCATATATGACACTGTAGGATAAGCACTGGACTGGGAAATGAACGGTGGTGGTTCAAACCCACCAGTCACTCCTGGAAAACCCGATACACTCAACAACAACATATAGCTATAATGAAAGAAATTTAATAATTTCACAGATAATTTCATTAATTCCATGAGTCATGAAGCTCATCCAATATTTTTGTCTCATAAACATGCCAAGTTGGAGAAGAGCCTGGTGTTCAATAAAAGTGTCATCAATTAATTGCAACTCACAGCAGTCTTATATGACAGAGCAAAACTGTTCCATAGGGTTTTCTAGATGATAATCTTTGTCATCTAATGCCTGTGGTGCAACTGAGTGTGTTTGAATTGCCAACTTTCTAGTTAGCAGTGAAGTGCTTAACTACGTGTGACACCAGAACTCCTATGTATATTAAAAATAATAGCATCAAGGAGGCAGAGACGATACTGTGATGACGTGGAGAGATGGAGCGGCTGGGTACTCTGGACTCTGGGAGGGAGAGGGGCTGAGTGCTGACAGCCGGGGGGGCTTGCCGGGAGCCAGCCCCAGCAGACTTATTCCAAGATTTTTCCGAAAGTGGATGCGGCGTCGGCAGATTACGGAGTCATGGATCATGATAAATTCAAAATCTTCTCATTACATGCTTTATTATTATTATTTCTATGGCTACTCTAATATTCTACTTCTCTCATTCTTTACTGTCCCGCTC